AATATTCAAAAAGAAAACTGAGCTTTGAGATCAACAATTTTCATGATAAGTTTAATATATATTTTTAATAAATATTCTATTAATACATTATCATTAGAAAGTAAATTTATTGGAACTTTAAAGATATAACAAACTAATTTTAAAAATTTAAAAATTTAATCTTATTTTTAATTAAGAATTTCTTTACAGTAAGACAATATTTTAAAATAAATAAAATAAAATATTAAGATTATTAATATTATTTATATAAAATTTTTAAAATTTTGCAATTTTTAGTGAAAATATATTTAAATAAAATAATTATATATTTGCAATAATCTATTTTATTTTATATTTTTAAATTTACTAATAATAATAATTTATTATATCTAATTTTAAAAAATAATTTATAATTATAACTTTTTATATAAATATTTATTTTTAAAAAAATATATTTAATAAGTATAAATTATGATTTAAGAACTAGAATTTAATAATAAAAATACCTGTATAATATAAAAAAAATCATTAATAAAATTTATACAAACAGAAATAATATAAAAATAAAATAATAATTATACATAAGTTTAAATAAAAAAATCATATAAAATATAATTTTGAAAAATTAATATATATAAAATTTACAATCATATTCTAATTTAATTTTTTAAAAACAATTGATAAATATTTTGTGAAAAATTTGTAAAATTAATATAAAATTTATTAAAAAAAAAAAAAATTAAAATATAAATATTTATATATTACAATTTTAAATTTTATTAATTTCTATAATATCACAAAATTTTTATAGCATAAATATTTGTAGTTTATGCAATTCTTCACAATTCTTTGTAACTTTTTGCAATGATGAACTATAAATATTACACAAAATTATATTTGATATAAACCTTCATAAGATTACATTTTGTAATCCTTCATAAGAACTGTAAAACATTGCTATATTATGGTATAAATTCTTATAATATTTACACTTTTAGTATAAATATTATAGAGGTTTATTTTAAAAATTTTTCTAATAAAATATTCTAGTATTTTATAATATAAAAATTACATAAATTATAGATTTTTTTTATAAACAAATGATTTTATTATCATATTTTTCTAAAATAAACATACTTATTTTAAATTACTTGTTTAAGTATTTTATTTTTTTTTGAAATTTATAAATTAAATTTCTATGTTAAAAGTTTTATAACACTTTTAATTTTATATTTAATTATAATAGCTTTTTAAATAATTTGTGATGATTAGCTAATCATATAAAATTACTTTTAAATAAATTATACTAAATAAAATTTAAATGAATTATCTCAATAAAAATTGAGGTAAAATAGTTTTAAAGAAAAGTTTTATTTTAAGCTAAAAATTACTTATAAAATTGAATTAATTAAAAATGGCATATATTATAAGAATCAGATATAATAAATATTTATAGTAACTTAAAAAATAATTTTAAAATTTATTTTATAATTAATTATTTATATGCAAAATAAAGTTTTTAATAAAGAAGTACTTAAATAATATAAAATCTTTTAAACAATTTACCAATTTTTTTCTAAAAATCCTTTAAATTTTATAATATTTTAATTTAGATGAAATTCTATTATAATTTAATATACTAAAAATTTTACTATAAACTGATTAATAAAATAATTTATTTCTACAGTTATTTTAAGTTATATTACAAATAAGATATATTTTTTTAAATTTCTATTAAAATCCTTTTATTTATATTTAAAATTATTTATTATAATTAAAACTGAAAGTTATTTACTAGAATTTTATTCAATTAAAGAAAAATCATATGAAGTTTATATATTTTGATATAATGATATTTAATAAATAATATTTAAAAAAAAGGTTTTTAATAATAGTATTTATTATGCAGTAAATTTTTATAGAAATATTATTTTAATGGTTAGTATAAATGCTAATTGAATTGTTAAATCTTTTATAATATAACTTAGTAATATCTGTATATAAATTAAATATTTATGAAATAATAATTAATTAATACTATTTTCAATTTATTTAAAGCTTATAAAATATCAATTTTTATAAATAAAATTATAAATAATAATATAAACTTATTAAAATTAATAAAATTTTAATCTTATCTTAATGTTAACAAATATAATAGATTTTCAATTAATTAAATTGCTACTTCTATAATAATCAATAATAATAAAAAACATTTTTTAGTATTATATTTAAACTTCTAAACAGATCAGGTTAGATTGAATAATTGATTTGTAAGATTAGATCAGGTTAAACATAAAATTTATTTAAAATATATATTTGACCTGATTTGACTATATATTACATGATTTAAGATCAGATCAGATAATTTTTTGTTTTACTAGTTTAAAAGTATTTATTTTAAATGAAAATAATTATGAAAGTAATATAATTAATATGAAACTAAATAATTATAAATTTGTTAAAAAATATTGATTTATTTTTACATTTTATTATTTAAGTAAAATTTTTTTAAAAAAACAAAATGTATTAATAAATATTTTTTTGAAAAATTCCTATTATTTATTAATTGCAAATTTTAAAATTACAAGTTGTAATAAGTTTATAAGTCAGGTGACTGTTAATATAATTATAAAAAAAAATAATAAATTTTTATTGTTATTAAAATAAAATTTATATTTAAATTTTTTCAAAACTGCTAAATTACTTTACTTAAACACTACTAGCTAATTGGCTAAAAATAATACATAGATAATTTAATTCATTCCTATAAGTTAAATAAAATTATTTTATCACAATTACAACTATATAAATACACAATAAAAGATTATTATAAATGAATAATAAATATCTTTATTAAACTTTTGATTTATTTCCAAAATCCTATTTTGAGTTATCTTTCAATACAAGAAAAGATTTAATATAACATATATGCTAAATATAACAAATAAGATAAATATAATAAATATGATAGAACTATTATTTTTTTGTTAAATATACTAAATTAATTAACAATATCATATTTGTTTTTGCATTTAAATATTCTTGATTAGCAGTATTTTGATAATAATCAAAAGCTTTTAATAAACCATTTTCAACACCATTACCTAATTCATAATATTCACCCAAATTATGCTGTTCAACCTTATTTCCATTTTCAGCTACTTTTGATTGTCAGTAAAATGCCTTTTAAAATTCTTGTTTATACCCTTCCTCACCCCTCTCACCCCTTTTATATAAAAAGCCAAGATTAACTTATGCATAGCTATCTACATTTTCAGTTGCTTTTTTGATACCAGTAAAAGGCATTTTTTAAATTCTGTTCTATACCTTTAACATTGCCAATTTCATAAATTTCCAAACAGAACTTGTGCATTACTATTTCCTTTTCGGCTAATGATCGAATAGAATAACATTAGGTGGGTAATTTATTGAAGTATTATTGCAATGTTTTCTGTTAAGGAGTCGGAATTTCAGAATTTAAATTTCGATTATTATTTGTAATAGTTAAATCATTAGTATCATTACAAATAATACCTCTCTTCTAATTTATTAATAATTTCTTGCTTAGCTTTTGTTTCTTCTTCTTGTTCTCTAACTAAATTACTAATAGTTCTTGCTTGAAATTGGTTTCTTCTACTCGCTCTATAACCTTTGCTTCTAAATATTTGAATTGTGAAAATAACTCTTCGTTACTTAGCTCTAATTCCTTAATTCTAAATTTCAAGACTTTTAGGTTTTTACTAAAACCATTTTTTTTTTGGATTAACTTTTTGGATTTTTCATTTTCATAGCTTTTTTAGCTTTATTACCAGTAGAAAACTATCCTTAACCCAGCCCTCGGTTTATATTTCTCTACAATGTTCGGATAATATAATCATATCTTCCAAATAAAATTAGGTTTTCTAAATTACAAAAAAAAATAAATTTAAATTTGCACTTCCTAACTTGATAGTTATGTGGGTATTATGAGAACAAGCAGAACAAGCGTGCGTGAATAAATAAATGTTATAACAACTCAAGATGACACGATAGCAGGAAAAGAAGACTTGACACGTGTAGAACACAGAATGTAAAAGTAATGACAAATATTGGAGATATATTAAAAAAAAAGAATTTGAAACGGTATTTGGAAATTTTACGAACCATACCGAATTCAGAAATTTGACAGAACTGTATAATTTGTGAAAAGAAATCTAAGAATGAGAAATAGCTATTTATAAATTTGTAAATGCTCGTTCGTTTTTATTACATTAAATGAGTTAATTTTGTAATTCAGAACAAAGCTGACTGATACATACATATAGGAATATTCTCACGAGAAAAAAATAAATTTATCAAATTTTTATTTTAAAAAAGTTTCTTTTTAAAATGTTTCGCGACTTTAATTCTTCTTAAATTTCCTGATAGTTTATTCTCTATAAAATGACGCTTACAGCATACGTTTGCAGCAAAATAAATATAGAAAATATCATTAGTAATTTGCTTTACATTGTAATGATATGAATTTTTTGAATCTCGGATATACAATGGCTCGTGCATTATTAACTACTATCGTTGCAAATGTTTTTTTTTTAATGAAAATAAAATATTCCCGAGTTTTTTTTTATAACGATTCGTGAAAAATCTAAAATCTAAATAAAAACATAAACCGTATAGAGGAATAAAGTTTAAATATTAGATTATTAACACTAAATAATTTAATATTTAGAGCTATTTATTAAAAAAGAAAAATATTTGAACAAATAGTTTAAAGTTGACATATCATTGAAGAGAATTTAAATTCTTATCCTTTCCCTGTTAGTATCTTTTGCCCACATGTTAAATATTATTTGGACAAAGAAAAGGAATATCTAGTGATTTTGTAGCATTTTTAGTAAAATTTTTTTTTTTTTTAAAAAAATCATTTATTTCCACTCAATCTCTCTTACTTTAATAAAAATTAAAATTAAAAAAATAATAAAAAAATGAAACTTCTTACCTTCTCTGTTATCAATATGATGATGTATAAATGGAACATCTCAAGGTGTATCTTCATCTTCACTTCCGATTATCATGGGGTAAAGCGCGTCTCGGAAGATACAAATAGTCCATAAATTGTTTATTCAACTGACATAATCTAGATAAATCAAACTGTTAGAAAATAAAGCAAATCATTACGCGAGTCGAACAATTCATAAACATAATATTTCGTTGCTCGAAAATCCTCATAATATTTACGTCGAATTGTGATTATTTCATTGATAAAGATCATGATCACCACACTAAACATATATAATATTCTTATAAAATAACATTTATTATATATATAAAAAGAATTTAAAGGTTCGAAAATTTTACAAAGAAAAGAAAAAAAAACATTACACGTTGCAACAAACTAATATATATTATCAAAATCAGTTATGTTTACGGCCAACCTACTAACTCTCTTCATCCTCAAATAAGGTTGAATTTCATAGACCAACTTTTCCAAGTTGTTATGCTCCAAATTTTCCGGATTAAAAAAACTATTAACCTTATATGCGAAATTCTTTATACCCTTCTCTTTCACAAATTCCTTAATAACATTAAAAGTAATATCAATGTTCTTGGTATTACAATTCCTAACCAAAAATTTGTTTAACCCAACATTAACGTTATTTAAGAAGATTTGCAATTCATTCGGATCGATGACAGAATCTATATCCAAATATTCCAAGGATTCCGGTAACGCTTGACCCAATTCTTTTGTAAGGAAGCAAAAATCTTTATTTTTAAGGGAAAGGTATTTTAGTTGTTTGTTAAAGTGAGCTATTACTTTATATAATTGAGGTAGATTGCTGTAATTATTAAGAGATAAATGAAGTAATCTGACTTTATCACAATAAATGATAATACTTTCTAAAACCTCTATCTCTGTGTTGGCAAAAAGATTTAACTCCAAATATTTTAGGAAAGGACCAACTTTTTGAAATAATAAACCAATTCCTGAGACTTGACCGACCACAATTAAAGATTTGATTTTTAATGGTACTTTAAATTCAAGTAATTGTCGAAAAACTTTAGCATTCAATTCTTTACAACGCACAATGTGAAGGGATTCAAGCTGAGTGAGATATTTAAAACCAAGAAATGATGAGATCTTTGTAAAATCACAATTAATAAACCTAATTACGGTCAAGGTAGAGCAGTCCTTAAAAGCATCAAATAAGCCATTATTTGCTTTTATGTTGCAAAACGAAAGAGATAAAATCTCAGTTTGTGATTGTAATAAATTGGCCAAAAATTTTTCCCCAGTAGCACAAATATCAAGGTGTTTAACAGAAGGTTGGATAAAATCCGTATAACCCGAACAACTTAATTTCAAATTTTCAATACTAGAGGTAAAAGTTGGATTACTCGAGATCATCTCATATATTTCAGACAAGTGATTATGAGAATATTTAATATTCATACTCAAACAATTTAACGAGGCATGATTATTTAAAAATAATCTGAATAATATGGTTGTAATAGAAGAAATGATTTTTTTTGAATTGATAAAATTTTTCCCTATATCCGGCCTTAAAATCTCAGGTCTCACAGTTTCAACATTTGTTGGTGTAAGGAAGGTTTTCCTGTTTGATTTCACTTGGTTGGTTGAATTGGTTGATTTGGAGTTTGCACCAGAGTACACGTCAAGATTATTTATCCAATTCACGATATGTATTTCCAATTGAAGAGTCTTTATGGTTTTAATGAACTTGGGATAATTAAATAATGGATATTTAAGTGAAGTCGAATCGATCATAATCCCAAATTCTTTTAATATAGCTTTATCATTCTCACTAAAAAATAAGTAATAAATGTCAAGAAAATTATGATGATTCCCTTCTTGACGTTTAATTGAAAAAGGATTTTTCCAAAGTATAGGAATTGTAGTTCTACATAAATGTCGATTGACGAGAACGCAAGAATAAAGTGACTTTAAATCATTACGTAAATATTGTAGAATATAATGCGTTATTTCTGGTAAATCTCCGGAAAATAATTTTAAACATGCCATTGCGTGAGAAATGAGTTTGAAAGAAAAAAAAAAATATTAAGGTTAGTCAATGGAATATGATTTCCTATTTATACATGTTCAACGCTTAATACGGCATGGGGCGGGTCGTTGGCAGGTGATTGTCATACAAATATCGGACCATACAAACTTGTGGCGCTGTGCTGATCATCCCTAAATGAATTCCGACGAAATTACTGCGCAAAACGTACGTTTCAAATTTTATTTCTTAAATTACGATGCAGATGAAGTTTTATTCCAATGCATTTATTGGAATATAATGTCATAGTGTAATAAAACAATGTACGGAGGTTAACCAAAATATTTAAGGACGTAGTAAATGCAGTAAATTTTCGTATATCACACAACTCATAATTTGATGCTGATCGTCTTAAAAATAACGAATGTCTTACAATAGATTTTAGAATTTTATTGGAGTTCAGAATTACAGAATACATGTTATAATCACACGTACGTGGAAAAAAGTTTGATTTTCTTATATTTTCGCAGTCAAAGCTATTATTACATATTTATGCTGTTGTTATTGTGCTTGCTTATTGTTGTGTGGTTAATTTAAAACAAAGAAAATTAAATAATTTTATTTTCTAAATTGTATAAATTTTCTTTTTTTTTTATAATATTTATAATATTTATACGTAGTTACAAAGAGTAATAAAATATAATACAAAAAAAAAAAAAAAAAAAAAGATTTAATCATTAAAGAAATTTTCGAGTTACCGTATAAACCGTTACTTTTAAGTGACGTTTATAAATAGCAAAATTACCCTTAATACTTCGAATCACATTGGAATCACGACCAACAAAAAAAATTATGATTTCTAAAGTAAAGCAATTTATTTTTACAAAAATTGAATGATGATAATATTTGTTTGACTTAAAACAGTTATTTATCAGTGATGAATATTTCATCAAAATAATTTTTGATGAATTGAAAACTTCAAGCTTGATTATTTTGAAGAGAAAATATATTGTATCTAGACAAAATTGGAAGTTCTAAATGCATAACCTTTATATAAATTTAGGAAATGTCTTATATACCGTGTTAAATTTTCTAAGATCTTTTATTCGATTTGTCGCGTTATACCTTTCGCACCAGAAATCATGATCAATAGTATAGCTAATTTTTCTCATGAAAAAAATATTTTTTTTTTTTTTTTTTTTTTTTTAAAAAGAAAGATCCATTCCAAAATTTCAAAATAAAAAAGAAACTTCCCACTTTATTTCAACTTTTATAATTTTTCAGAATAAACATCCAAACTAGTTGAACGAACTTTAATTGATCATAACTTAGGTTGCATTTGTTATTGAAAATATCTACAAGTTTCTAACAGTGACTAAGATACGACAATGATAATTATGAAAACTTAAAAGGAATCTTTCGCATTATCAGCTGTACTTTAATAAATAAAAGTAAGTTTCATATCATGCTTACACTTATACTTGTTACCATACTATATGGATATGGGATAAAGTCACAATCCCATTCCATTCAAAATCCCATTGCTTAGATTAAAACTTTAATAAATAATATCTCTGTATTTAATAACCAGAATTTAGAGATATTTAGCTATTTAGCTTTATATTATAAGATGATTAAATAATAAAAATTTTATTTCAGTAGGTATGGAGGGATATTGACCAAAATATACTTAAAAATAAGATTTAAAATTGGGATATAGGATATGGGATTTTAATATGGGATTTGGAATGGGATGGGATTCTAAAATATGAGAAACTACACTTACACTAAATTAATCAATTGTTCTTGAAGATTTTAGACTTCCTTAAATAAATACCCATATGTAATCAGATCAAACCTTATTTTTAATTTATAATTATTTTTTAATTGCAAAAATATGAGATGAATAAGATTTTAATTGTAATGATTGCAGTTTTTCAATTACAATAATATGGAAAAAACTAAATATTAGAAAACAAATTTATATAATCAATAATTTTATAAATATAAAAGAATAATAGTTTTTTACTTTATCAAATATTTCACTTCTAATTTTTAAATCACTATTTTATAATATGATGTATCTTTCTTTTATTTTTATTAGGTTTATCTCTTCATCTAAAAGATCATGATTTTATGACTATCAAGTGTGATCCAAATTTATTATTTTGTAATTAAGCTAATAGAATACTCTGCCATTTATATAATTTATAAAGAAAGGTTTATAATAAATTAGAAGATATAAATCCTTTTTTAAATATGCGTATTTGGTTTAATGCAGGATAAATGATTGATATCAGAACAAGATAATATTATTATCTTATAATTTTAATAGTATATTTTAGAAATTAATTGTAAAAAAACAAATTTATTTTCAATGTATCAGACTACTTCATCATTTGAATAGCAGATAAAATTTATTTTATTTTTTTATAGAAGTTAGTATCTTTATATTTTTTTCGATTTTAAATTTTTAGATTGATTTTTATTTTATTTAATTAAGAGAATATTTAGGAATTGATCTATTAATAATAGGTTACAGGAATCTTTCAACAAAAAATGAGATTTTTGATTCATATTATAATATATTAAATGAATTTATTTGGGTAAATTTTTAGAGGCTATTAACTTATTAATAAAACAAGTAATTTGGCTGGCAAAAATGCTTAAATTTCTGTGTAATGTCAATCAAATATCTAAAATTAGATTTTATAGAAATGATCGATGTAAATTTTAGCAATGATCGATAAATGATCGACATGTATAAAAATGCTTCAATGTATAGTTTTAATTAAAGATAGTTCCCATAATTATTTTTAAATTTTTTAACTAGTTGCAACTTAAGTTGCAATACTTTGAGTTGCAACATTTTATGAATTTTTATATTAAAATAAATTTA